GTAGTCCGATAATCTAATTCTTTAGCTCTAGAGCTTTTTCCAGTGTGTTGGCTCCAGTCAGTACATCGTCGATGTAGAAGGACTTCCTAACTGCGGCTGCAGCTAGTGGAAACTAATTCTCTTCATCATTGGCTAGTTGAAGAAGCGCCATCGTGGCCAAGAACGGAGACGAAGCTAGTCCGTATGTAACCGTTTGCAAATCATACGTTTGGAGCGGCTGGTTGCTGTCGTATCTATTTACAATCTTTTGGTACCGCCTATCGGTTCGATGTACTCCAACTTGACGGTACATCTTGGGAACGTTCGCAGTGAAGCCGTATTTGAAAACCCTGAAGTTCGATACGATGCAAACCAAGTGATTCTGCACTGTAGGTCCGATCATCTGCGTCTGCTTGATAGAGATACCAGTGCTCGATTCAGCAGAACCATTGAACACCGCGCGAAGCCTTGTTGTCGTACTGCTGGGTTTCAAGACATAGTGATGAGGGAGATAGAATACCGAGTGTAGATCTTCATCGGTTGCGTCGTTGTTCAGCTTAATGTGGCCAAGCTGCTCGTATTCTCGTAGGAACGCCATGTACTGCTCCTTTAGTTCTGGTGCTCTATCCAACCTCTTCTCTAACGTCAGGAAGCGCCTTTCTGCCAAGCTGCAACTTCAAGTCGTTAAACGGAAGACGAACGACGTATCGTCCTTCTGCAGTCCGCACATGAGTTTCACGAAAATGATCCATGGAAGCCTCTTCGGTTGATTCATTCCGAATCGCTTCACAAGTTCTCCAATATCTTCTTCAGCTCGCACACAGAACGAATGAAGTACATTTGATCCTTCATCAGGTATTGAACCACTAAGAACCCAGCCAAAGTGGGTTTCTTGGAGCACCGCTGCACTGCTTGGTACTGGTAGACCCAACGGCATGTCAACCTTTTCAGGAGCTCCGAAATTCGGGTCAGCCAACTCGATATCACCCGGAATCGTGAGCGATCTGTAATCAATCTTTGTAACCGGAAGCTCTCCAGTAATATCTTCGGTACTACGAGCAACTCGAGACAAGCAGTATAGTCAGTTACTCTAGATTTCAGCTGCGTATGTATCTTGAATCGAACCTTCGTTTGTGTTTTATTCAACCCACCGATCGAAAAGTTAGTAGGTTGCTTCTTCAATCCCAACAACGTAGCGAAATGTTCCGAAACGAAGTTTGTGTGTGACCCCGAGTCAAGAAGAACTCTGCAAGGGTACGGGTTGTTCGCTTTTCCATAGACCAGTACTACCGCTGTTGAGAGTAGTATCTGTCTACCCGACTTTGACCGAGTACAGAAGTTTGACTGCTGTTCCTCTTTACTGGTTGCAGGTTTTGAAGTTCTAGGCCCAGCAGGTACCTCTCGCTTCTGATTCTGCTGATCGTCTTTTGAGTTTACCGCTGACGGAGCTTCACTCTTTTTTGTAGAGGTCTCGTTTGGATGAAGGAAGGTGTGGTGCCGTTTGTTGCACTGCTTGCAAGAATGTTCCGATGAACACTCGGCTGTCCGATGTCCTTTTTGGAGGCAGTTGAAGCTCCGATGTGTCGAAGGGTATTGTATCGATCTGTCAGGTTTGCCTTCTTGAAGACATCACATTTCCATAACGCATGGTTGTTGAACTCTGTGGACATTTGTCAGCGGTTGCCACTAGACTGCTGCCCTTGGTTCTCACTTCAACGGTCGGCGTCAGCAGTTTCACGGGTTTAACGATGCGCTTCTCCGGAACACGGATCATCTCCAATGCTCGGCATCGCTCTTTCAGAAATTCCATCGTTGAATCGTAATCCAGCAGCATACAGCAATCCCATGCCTTGCGAGTTTCGTCATCTAACTTTTTGGTGATTCGAATGATCAGCATACTTTCTCCCAATCCTTCAACTGGAAGCTCAAGGTTTTTAAGGGCATCAACATTTCTCGAACAGACGTCTATCAGCTTACGCAATTCTATTGCGTTCTCGCTCGTCATCCTTGGAAGATCGAAAAGGGCTCGAAGGGTTTCGAACATCGACTTGAATGCATACCACTTCTCGTATGTACCGTCAAAGGTAGGTAACGGTACCTTGAGCGGCGGTAGGTGCATCGCTGCAGCGGAAGCTACCGAAAGTGGAGGTACTGGAGCTGCTGCTACTACCGGAACAGTCTCTTTCTTGACAATATCGTCCAGCAATTTAATAATGAAAACGTACAACTCACCGTATCGCTGCTTGAATCGGACATACATTACGTCTGCTTCCTCGCGGGCCTCATCACCCACGTCCAAGCTGTAGATGCGCTGCTGGTTTGCATTGTACTCCGCCAACGCATCTTGGATGGTCTTCAGCTGCAGTTGCAGAAAGTACCTATTTTCCAAATTAGGATTTGGCACTGCCGCATTCACTTTGAGTGCCGCCTGCACCCTGTTCAGCTTTCTTTTCACTGCATCGTTTATTTTCTTAATTTTTTCTTTTTTCTTTTGTTCACTGACTGGTTCATTTTTTTGTTCTTCGCCGTTTTTGGATTGTGCTCCTGCTTGCGTGTTGCTTATTGTATTTTTCGGAGTGTGCATCATCTTCACAACATCAGGGAAAGGCTTCTTCTTCAAAATGGCGTCACAATTCTTCACTGAAGAAGTACGATCAACACAACACCGCGGCGCAACAGTGGCGTTCTTTTCTTCACAAAAGCACAAGCTTCAATTTTCACCGCTATGGGTGACATTTTCACAACGCGATTAGCCAAACGGCGTCACAATTCAGTTGCGATGCTACCGGCAAAACTCCGGACAAGCGGTATGCAAAAATTTGCCAGCAATTATCACTTTCTTCGATGTACGAATCAAAATGGCGTCACGCTTTCAGCTACGGTTTAGTCGCTGCAACACCATGCACACGCGAAGTTTTCCAACAAACGAAAGCACTAGCTTCAACTTTCACCACTATGGGTGATATATTCACTGCGCGATTCGTCAAAAGGCGTCACAAATCTAGTGCAATCCTGCTGACGGTTATCTTTACAATACTGCAACGCAGACAAAAGCTTTGTCTGACGATAGCACTTTTCATTCGAAATCACCCAAGATGGCGTCACACTTTCGGCAGCGGTTTCACCGATGCAACACCATGCTCAAGATGATCTTTCCGAAATCTTCCGATTCACTTGCGAAATCCTACTTTCTTCGCACGAAAGTTGGCCAACTTCCCGTTAACTAGTGACCAGAAATGTACGAGCTCGGGGGAAACAGTGGACTGTAAATGAAAATTTTCTTCCGCGTGGCATGAAAGAAACCGCGTCTGATCTATTCTGCTATAGAAAAATTACTGTCTTTTATTGGCGTTGACGGCGACTCTGTAGCTCTTTACTCCTATGAGAAAATCCATAAGCAAACGTCAGACTGTGCGTGAAACATGGCGGACTTTGTACTATCCTTTCACTCCATCGAAAATTCCCATAAGAAACTGTCTATATTTGCTGGAAGAGCAAATTTTTCAACGGTGCCGTCAACGCCAATTGCGTACTTTACAGAGTTTAGGTGTGTTGGTAAAAATGAAATGGGTTTCTCTCTTCAAGGTTGGCAGCGTTTCGGGGTGCGTTGCTACCGTTGCTACACTCAACACAGGGAAGTTTAAGAATTTAAAGAGAAGTATTGTGAGCACTTCTGGATAAATTTGGGAACTTTAATATTACTTTGCAGTTCACAGGAGTTGTGTTGTGTGTGTGTGTGTGTCATCCTCTATCCCTCACCCAGCCGGGGGCGTTGGACAAGTAGAACTGCGAATAATTTGATCAAATCTCATGCTCCGTAGTGGTGCCCTTTATGTTGTGAAGACTAGTACTTCAAAAAGGGTTACTTTTGGGGCAAGACAGGGTGTCCTCAACAAGTTAAGGAAACAGGATGCACTAGATGTCCACAACAGGTACAGCAAAACATCACATAAACGCCCTTATTCACACTAACTACTCAGGGGGTAGAAGGTCAAGAAGAGCCACCGCCGCCAACTAAAGCTTGAACCGGGTACCTGGGACTCCCACGATATACCCGCGGCAATGGTCAGCAGACGATGCCCTGTGCGTATTTATATGTAATATGTTTTATTTGGATATACAAAATGTTTGAAGCCATGCGTCATCTAAACCATAATTTGCATCACCACAAATACACTTTTCAACAATCTTCAACTGGAACGCACTCACCAAATCACTACACCCGGGAGCGCATTCCCGATGCTTCCACGCATATTTTTCTCTAGTCATCTGCAGTTCACAGGAGTTGTGTTCCTCAGAAATTCCTAAGAGTTTTCATTGATATTTACTTTTAATTTAGTTCAGGGTTTCTCGAATTCTACGAACCCTTCTTAACAAACCATCCTGTAGGAAGCTTAATAACTATTGCGAATTGCGTTATTCGATTTGTTGGAAGGAGATTCTTAAATTCCCGTGGATTTCGCGTAAGTGCCTCTGCTTACGGGTCTACTCCTCCATTTTTGGTCCTTCATACAGCGATATTGTGAATTCAGATCGGTAGCTCAAATTGATCTTGCTATTAAGTGGAGCTGCATACAAGACAAGATCTTCGAAGGGATGGTGGCTACCTTACATACACTTATTTCTTCAACATGGTCACTAAAATCACTATTTTTGACAGCAGTGATCACTACCAGCCCTGGGTATAGGAGTGCATATAGGAAATCAGTACACATATTCAAAATGATGATAAAAAATACATTTGGTTGGGTTTTTTTTTAAAGCAAACTCCATGGAAGTGGTTTCGTTCTGGTAGTGGCACTTACAATAGGATAAAAACCCTTATTTTAACATTTACCTTTGCGTATCTAAACTTAATTCCAGGCAGACCCCAAGAATGTTTTATCAAACTCGTCTAATAACTGACCCAATGGAAGCAAAATCATTCACATTTTTTAAATACGAAAACTTTGTAAAGCAGTATAGCCAAAACACTTTATATTTTACAACTAAACCCACTTTCTCTTTTCCACAACTCGCAGATCAAAGGTGAATCCCGGTTCGGCTCGATTTTTCTCATTCCAACAGCGCTTCCAAAATAAGAGCCCCTTCTTCTCATGGTGTTAGAAAGAAATATTTCCACGAAACTAAGTAACGAACAACACCGAATAAATAAAAAAACGAGAAAGTAAGTTTAAAACTAACAGCAGAAGAAGCAAAGTAAATAGTGACTAAAAACCGAAGCGAAAAAAATAGGTGAAACAATGTTCTGGGAACACTATTTGTTTGTATGAAATCGCGATAATGAAGAGGAACGTTATAAATTATATATATTGAATAGTGAACACAAAATGTATGTATTTATCATTCAAATTATGAAAAAAAAATAAAGTTAAATAGTGTAAAACCATTCTGCTGACAGTGAACCATTCAAATGTCTAACGAAATTCTCCCGTTTTTGCTTTGTTTTGCTGGTAAGTCGAACAGCCCTGAAAATTTTCTTTAATTTATTCCGACATCAAACGCTTGCAATCTTATGTAAATAAGCTGTTATGAAGAGGATGAATTTGGTCTCATTTTTTTAATGTACCCAAAAGGAAGTTACTAAAACCCGTTAGCAACATTGAACTTGAGTCAAACATTTCAATGTGGCACTTGGCAGCAAGTAGTAGAGAGGTTACGAATCAAATTAACGTCACTAGTCTTATTTAATAAATTGCATTACTACTAAAGCAGAAAAAAAGCATAAGTCTAAGTTTGGAATCAGCTCATATTTCGAAATTTGTACAACAGCAGAAATATTCGGATTAGGTCAAGTAAAACGGATTCACGAACCCGGTTGGTCCAAAAGTAGTTTGAATTTTCGACAGATACATTTTCATAAAACAGCAAAAGGAAATAGTAACTGATATAGGCTAGAAACATTTCCGTAGCTAGGTAGATCAACATAGGAAATAAACTATATACAAACCAGTAACAGTCAGGCATGGGTGGACAACATTTGAGTGTTCTACAATAGAAGACAGGCGAGAGAGAGAGAAAAAATCAAACGAAAGGTCGCGAGTTGGATTTAGTGAAAACAAGCCCGATCACTAGCAATGTTTTAGTTAAACTTATATACTACATCACATCCACAGTTACACAAAGGCATGCAGTCCTCAATAGACCAACTACGTTTTACAATCAGTTGCATTAGTTCCGAGATGCAAATCAATAATAATCATCAAATAAAATACGTGTCTGTGTTTCTCTACGCTGCAATTTTCGATGACATTCCTTGAGATTCAGAATTTAAGTCCTATTAATGCTTTCATAGATTCAGTGCAAACATTAACCTACTTTCGAAACTTAGTTTTCAGTAATCATTAGAAGACAACAAACTTTCTCCGATATGGGGGCATTTAATTATTCACAGTACTGGCTGTCGTCTAGGCATGCAACGCTTAGTGGTATAAAGGTGGAAAACTTTTGCTACCAGCAGCGTAGCTCATGGAAAGGTTCCTACCTATTTGTCTAACTTGTTCTACTAAAGTAACTGCACAATAGCGCAAAAGATATGCATGCCATTTCCCCGGTCTTACATAATTGTAATTTCTCTGGTATTTATCCTATGATTCCTTACCTCGTGCGATATTAAGCCCTAAACAAGACGTAATTATCTATTACCAAATTGTCGGTGGAATGAATTCTGACGTTCACGACTACTTTTAGCTGTATCGGACCGTTGCTATGATAACTCTTTTTTTTTTGTAGTGATCACAGTGGCAGCACTTGCTTAAACTCTACACTGGACCCCTTTTATTGATAAATTTTGCTTCTATGAGCCTCTATTTTAAATCAACACACAGACGTTCCTAGGCTTTGGTGCCGGTTTGGTCACTGTTGTTTTTGTGTTGATCCAAATAGTTTTGATAATATAATTGCGCATTCTTGTTCTTTAAACGGTTGATTTTTGTCCCAGTCTTGTCTTCTGTCGTCACTTATTTTGTCATTTTGTCTTGTGTATTGTGTCAACTTGTGTCTATTGTCCTTCCCCATCTGTTTTTAAACTCGTTCTGTTACTCTGTCATGACTAATTTCACTGATATATAAAAATAGTAATATCAATTATACGATAATATGGTTATTCCTCGATTACTTTTTCAAAGGGACGCATCAGCTCCTGCAAACAATGCATCCGATCGTCGATCCGGCGCAACTGGTAGCTCGCACACGTCTACCAACACCACTAGCAGGTGGAGGAAAATTTCCCTATCTGATGGTAGTGCTAGCATGCGAGCCACCAGCCACTCCAAATCGACGATCAAACGCACCACCCACAAAAGCCGACACGTCCCTCTGAAAAAGTTATTGAGATTTCTACTAATTAATGAATTATTGACAATTACCTCTCATGATCCTTGGCTGCACTATGATTTTAACTTACCACTTTTTGATTATTTATCAAATACCTCTCCGACTATATAACGCCCCGATGCCTATTGGTTTCTGGTGTCATTTGGATTGGTCCTGAATTTGTTTGATATCCTTTTTTTTTTTTTTTTTTTATTAATTTATTTGATAAGGCTCAACCGAATTAACTTTACAGAGCCGAGGATTCTTGGTCACTATACAATACATCTTAAAACTATAGTCAAAAGGTACAACACAATAAACACTTTATCTTCCGCTATCGAAAAAGCCTCCTCCATCAAAACTGGAGCCGCTTCCAGTAGTTTCATTGAGTGGCAAATTGTTGTACGCCAATGAGGGTCAGAGCGCGTCCATTGCAGCAATGGACGCAAAACGTGGTCAGCACTCACACACTCATCACGAAACGGTTGCTTTCCAAAGTCGACGACGCATCGACCGAAAGAACTGCTGATGAAGAACAATGAGGAAGACCACACAATGGTTGCTGCCGAGAAAACAGACGATCGCGTAGCACACATCGAGAGTGGCCTGCTTTTGTCGACAGCCGAGTGAACACTCATTTGATATCCTGTTCGAAGTGTTTTTATTCCTTATCCTTAATCCATTAAGTTAGGTTATTTCGTTGAATTCCAGCTTGTACGTGTCTCACGTCATATGATTCGCCATTCATAAAGATAATGGGTTAAAAGGGAGCAAATCATACATAAAGGTAGATTAGTATTAGTTGTACTTGATCCAAACAATAGAAAGAAGCATAGATAAATTAGTAGGAAAATAAAGCTAATACCTATATAACTAAAAGTGCAATGGATAAGTGTTAGTTCCGGGATCATTTTAGTGTTAAGAGTTATGTTAGTTTTGATCCGTATTCAGCCCTGCCGGCCCCTCCAGCACTATTTGCAGCAATTGTTATAAGATTATGCGACACTGCTACTACTACTATGTTAGATGTATGACTTGTCAATTTTCGCTAGAGAAGAATACTGTTTTCTAACGCAACGCAATGTTTCAATGAAGGTGTCTTTCAATAAATCAATCAATCAATTTGATTTTTGAAAATTTGCTCAAAAGGGTTTAGTTGACACATCATACCTTACCGAAAACTACAGCAGAACAATCCTAATTCTTATTTCAAACCTATCAACATATTTAACACACCTTTCCTAAAACTTCACTTATTCGTAAGCGCCTGATTGAAGATATGATTGCTATTGACATTGTCTGTAATTAACAAATTTACTAAATAGATAACATGTCATGGATAACAACATTAATTAAGTGGAATTAAATGGAAGATAACCTTTTTTGCTGTTTTATAAATAGGAAGATTTATTATACAACTCTAAAGGCAAGTTGCCTCCCTAAGCGGACCAGCCGCGTCCTATCTCTTATGTTAATTAACTTTCTGAATTCTCTAATTGAAGTTCATTTGATGATTATTTAGTCTTATTTAATAAATAACTGAAATCTCTAATCTACCTACACAATCATAACCCATGCTTTTAAACTAAAATTTAACGTGTTTCAAGTACACCTTCAAGTGACTAAAATGCTTCACTTTATAGTTAGTTTCCAAGCTAATTTTAAATTGTATATTATATAGGGTAAATGTTCCAACTACGCTCTCACGTTTCCACTATGTGGCACCACAAAAATACATATGGGTATGTCACAATAGAAGCACACCACAGTGGAAATCCCGAGTCATAGTTCAAACACTTATCCCAAATCAAAATGAAGCACATATAAGATTAGTTACAATATCATGTACAAAAATGGTGTTTAGCATTGTTCGCTGGCCACACTGTTGGGCACTTTCTGAAATATTTCAATAGTATAATTCCCTTGCAAACCCAAATAAATCTATCTTCGTAAAAAAATAAGAGTGATTTGCGGCAAAACCCGCCAGTATCGCACCCAACGTCAGTGCCTATACGTAAGCGTACTACGACGCGGCTCTCAATCAAAGGAGTAACAAGTGTGATACTATCACTGCTAGATTAGATCTTTGGTTCTCTCATGCAGTGGTTTATCAGAGAGGGGAAGCCTAGTAATTCCCATTGCCTGCCATGGCGCAATTTTATCGCGACATGAGCCAGCAACAACGGCCATAAACCTACCGTCTCCAACACTCCACTAAAAAAGCATGAAATTAAGCCCGCCCACCAGCAACAAGGTGCAAAAACTAGCCAAGGGGAGGGTATCGGACCGTTGCTATGATATCATAGTTTTAACCGAGACATGGCTAGATTCTCGAACGCTTTGCAGTCAGGTATTCGGTTGCGAGTATGAGGTCAACAGTCAAAAGTCTACTGGAGGTGGTGTTCTCGTTGCGGTCCGTTCCGGTTTGAAGGCGAGTCGAATTGTGTGGAACAGGCTTGGATAGCCATCAAACTGTGTGATTGCACATTGCACCCCACTGAGTTCGTGACCTCGAACTGGGGACACATTGCGCATCTCGAAACGAAAGACATTTTGCACGAACGCTTGTATGAAAAAGTTTTTCGTTTCGAGATGCGCAATGCCGCCCCTGATCGAAACCCATTGTCGGTCCGTTTTCACCATAATGGAAAGCGCGACTCCTATCGATGAGACACTTGTTCTGGGTGACTACAATCAAGCTGGTGTATCGTGAAAACCTTCTCAGAGCGGCCTTCGCTATCCGGTTCCTGATAGCTCTACATTCCACTCAGGATCAGTTAACCTTCTCGATAGCAACACTTTCTCAAATCAATCATGTATTCAACAAGAACAATCGTAGCTTGGACCTCTGTTTCGTAAGCGCTCAGGGCACCGTTCCATTCTTCTCCATATAAATAAAGGAAGTTCCTCATCATCGTTCTTTGGTTATCACTGTTGAAGATAATCCCGAAGTTCCCGAAAAGCCGATCATTGTAGCATCGTTGACGTGCTGTCAAGCATAGATAGAGAAAGCATCCTCGATCCTGAAAATGTTGAAACCGCTGCACAAACTTTTTCACACGTCTTGGCATATGTCATTCACAGATACGTTCCAAAAAGAGTTCACCGGAAAAAGATATTTCGATGTTTCGATTTGGTCTGAGGTTTCACTCGAACGGAGGATGATGTTTTGGTACGGTGTAGGTGAAATTGATATTGAAACGCGTACTGGAGAGTAGTGGCAAGGATGATGCATGAAACAGCTTCGAAAACATGGAAAGTCAGGCTTATATTAGTTGTATTAGTAGTAATTGTATTTACATAGGGGAATTTACGTATTCTCGGCAACCTAAGCAGCGACCTTCTTTCTATAGCCTTTTTCTCTAAGGAACGCACACGTATGCAGTATTGGTTTGTTTACAATCTTTTGCTGCCAGCTGCTCTAACAATTTCAGTCGAAAGAATTGTCAAAAACTGTTTTGAAACGCTTTTACAAAGCTCCAATCTTCTCTAGTGAGAGCGAGTATTGTCGGCAACCAGTTTTTCTTCGGCAACCGGTCCATTTGAACTGCATGTAAATCTGCTGTTCTATTATCGGCAACTCGAAATCAGCTACAATTTATAGTGCGTGTGTTGCATTTCAAGAAAACCTTGCTAGATTGCTTTTTCTCAGTGGTAAAAATATAGTCAAATTGAAGCTGAAAGCATAAAGAATCGTTTGCATGCATTCAGCGAAGTGTTTTCGTAAGAAAATCCAGTGAAAATAGTGTTTCAATTAGGGTTGCCGAAAATAGTATGTCATGCCGAAGCCGTCATTTCCCCTATTCACAAAACCTTTACTTTATATTGACGAATAGAAATTCCTAATTATATTCCATTTCCTATTAACACAAATGTTCCCTCCCGTGGCATCTATGAAGG